GCAAGAATTGGCAAACATATGGCTCTGGTTAATGGTGACCTTAATTAAGTTTTCCTAGCCTCGGGAAATTAGACCATTTAACGTCTGATTATGAGCACAGGCTTTTTCGAGAAATGTGTGACCGTGTTACTCTCAGCTAGCTGCGAGTCCTTTCAGTCCTCGTTAGAAGGATCCCAGCGAGTTCTGCTGTCCTTATAGTTAGTGAATGATTCATGACCAGTCATTTCTGGGGTTCTCAGTTCAGCCTCTCGTCGAGTGTAAATGAGAAGCAGCCCATTCCGGTTCTTCAGCCAGGCATCTGTATTTTGAGCGTTTTACTCGCTCCTTTGCAATCAGATATTCTGACCTAGGGTCAGTTTCTTGATGTGGAGAGTGGTGGGGGTGCGAATGGTTTTGGAGACTGCCGCAAGGAGGATCCTTGCTGTCCTTGGCTCCCCCCCCCACCACTCTCTGTCTTTCAGGGATAAAACCAAACTGCCGGTCACTCCCATCCTGTCCTCCACCTTCCGGCTGATCCGTTACCACCTGGGGACGGTGGCCAAGGGGTCCTTCATCATCACACTGGTCAAGATCCCCCGCCTCATCCTCATGTACATCCACAACCAGCTCAAGGGGAAGGTAAGAGTGATTCTGGGGCTCCTGGGAGTTTTACTTGCACAATAATGTACTGGGGGCAGAAGGAAAAATGTTTGGTTCAGAGAGAGAACCAATCAGATTGTAGAGGAGGTGGGTCCAAGCAACTGGAGGAGGCGGGACCAGGACAGTTGATTGGTTGGTCCCACTGCAGGGGTTGTGTAATGCCATGTTTTTGGAAGAGCGCCCTCATGCTGGTGTTTGTCGTCTCGCAGGAAAACGCGTGTGCGCGGTGCATGCTGAAAGCCTGCATCTGCTGTCTGTGGTGCTTGGAGAAGTGCCTAAACTACCTGAATCAGGTAAGCCGGAAATGCGTCACTGTGACGGAGGTGGGGCGGTATGGATTCTGGGGAGCGCCTGCAGTTTGGGAAAGATGGGTCAGCAGGGTGGGATAGAGGTGGGTGTTAATAAAAATGAAATATATAAATAGGCATGAATGTGCATGTATACTATTAAAAGACCTGGATTGTGTTTATAAACGCTCAGGTTACATATTAGAAAAGGTTCTAGTACATTTTGCGTTCCGTGTTCTTCAATGAATAAATGTCCAGAGATATTTTTTTGAAGTTTGCACAGTGGGAATATGATCAAAGCTGTGGTCACGACATGATTCCCGCTCCCCCCCCTTCCCCCCCCTTCCCCAAACAGAACGCGTATGCCGCCACAGCCATCAACAGCACCAGTTTCTGCACTTCGGCCCGGGATGCCTTCGTGATCCTGGTGGAGAACGCGCTGAGGGTCGCCGCCATCAACGCCGTGGGTGATTTCGTTCTGTTCCTTGGGAAGGTAAGCGGGGCTGACTCAGTGGGTTTGGGCATCTAGTTTTGGCCCTTCAGCTCTCAGCTGTGGCTAAAGGTTTGTGGGAGTTTTACTTGCACAAAAATGTTCCGAGAGTAGAAGGAAAAATGATTGCTTCAGAGAGAGAACCAATCAGATTTTAGAGGAGGTGGTTCCAATCAACTAGAGGAGGTGGGACAAGACATCTGATTGGTTGTCTCCCCACTCTAGTTGATTGGAACCATCTCCTGTACAATCTGATTGGTTCGGAGAGAGAACCAATCATTTTTCCTTCTGCCCTCAGAACATTTTTGGGTAAATAAAACTCCCCTGAGCTATTTGAAATGGCGTTTCAGAAGAAAACCAACAAGGTCTATAGTTATATTTCTTATATTGCACAGGATACTAACAGGATGCATAATCAAAATGCAAGTCGTGTTTCTGTGTGGCACTTTTTGAAGTATTGTATACATGAAGATGTGTTTTGTTTTAACGTGACGAAATCAGACAGCTGTGTTTGCGCCACAACGGCAATTGTTTGAAGCTCAAGTCTTTATTTCCAGCTCATGATTTATTTTCCAGTTGACTGGGCCGTTTTCCTAAATTCAGACGGCACGGTACATCAGGCTGTTAGCAGTGGAGCAAATGGGAAACAGAACAATCACTATGAGTGCTTGTTGGGTCAGTCTCACTGTAGACATTCCTTAGATGGGTGAAAGTGGCAAATGCGGTCAAATCATATTCAAAATGAAATCAAAACTGTGCATTTTATTTCTTTGGTATTTGAGTCTTATAGTTTTGATTTTGTAATTTAGTTTTTATATTATTTTTAATGGTATTATTAGTTATTTTAAAAATATATAAAAACCAAATAGAAATATATTTCAGTTTTAGTACATTTATTTTTAGCGATAGACTGAAAGTTGTACAGCTATTTTGTGTCTGATCTTCAGAGAATCTTGCACGAATACACAGTACATATTATGTACTAATGTCCTTAAATGGGCAAAACATGTTCCAGGTATTATTAACGGTAATTAAAGATCAGCAAAGTCATGACTTTATTATTTAACAACGGTAACGGAACATATTTGGCAGCATGTTTGTTTATATTTTATTCTTAGTTTATTTTATTTCTGTTAGTTTCAGAAGCAATATTTATAGTGTGTGTTTAGGCAGCATGGCACTACTGATGATGCGTCCCAAAATTTTTCAACCTACACCAAACTTCTCCAAGTCTAATATTCGCCATCCACTGATAAGCTTAACTGTGAACCTATTGTACGTGCACAAAGGATAGTAAGACCTCATCTTACTAATATCTTATCCTGTGTTTCACAATCTAGTTTTTTTTTTTATTGTATTTTCATATCTTATTTCAGTGTTCTATTAGTTTTCGTTTTTAACGATAGTAACCCCGCTACTTGGTGATTACCAGCTCACCCCCTTTGAATTAGGACTGTTATTTATTTGCGGATGTAACCAGCTTTGTACGGGGAGATTAAACGGGATAGTCGATAGGTTTCTGCCTTCAGTACGCAATCAGGGTTGTTATTTGAGGCTGCCTAACAACTTTTGTAGACGGCGTCTTTGTTTTTACATCTAAGATGGCCTCTAGATAGATGTCCGTTGTCTCTGTGTTCCTGCTTTTATTACTAACATTACTATTAGTCTATTGTTTATCAAGAATTGTCACACTTGGGTGATATCGTGTGGTTGCTGTTGTGTGGCTTCTGCTCCAATACTGCTTGCACAAGTACCCGGGCACTCATTGGAAGTTCAGCCTAGCCGCACTTATGCCTAATCGACTCCACGACGGCTTCTGTGGAAACATGGCCGTCATCTTCCTGACGTGTCTCTTGGTGCCCAGGTGCTGATTGTGTCCTGCACGGCCTTCGCTGGCGTGCTCGCCCTGAACTACCAGCGGGACTACACGGTCTGGCTGCTTCCGCTCCTCATCGTCTGCCTCTTCGCCTTCCTGGTGGCCCACTGCTTCCTCTCCATCTTCGAGATCGTGGTGGACGTGCTGTTCCTCTGCTTCGCCATCGACACCAAGCACAACGACGGCAGCACCGGGCGGGAGTTCTACATGGACAAAGCCCTCATGGTGAGGACTGGTGCTGAGCAGAGCGGCGTGGGGAGCGTCAGTAAAGGCAGGGCCGGATTAAGAGTATTAGCTGCTCCTGTGCAACAGCACGCATGACGTCACGCTAGAAAGAAAATGGATTGGCGACACGCGAGATTCAGAAATGGCATCTAGTGTAGGAAAAACGTCAATGAGTGCAGTGTTAAAAGAACAATATGCAGTCATATTTTATATGTCAGTAATTCAGATATTAAATCACATTAACTTGTTAAAAGACATCCATGAATGGGATGGGGGGGGGCTGCTTGGTGCCTCCCCTGTGGGCGTAGCACCACTGGGCACATGCCCATATGGTTAATCCGGGCCAGAGTAAGCGGGATACAGAGGGCTGAAGCCCGGGCTGCACACATAGACCAAAGGGCAGGAGTGTGAACTCACAAACACCGTGTCTCTGCCGGAGATCCAGAGCTGCCTTGTTCTATATTTCCTGGCTTACAGTTCTGGGTCTCACTTTGCAAGTAGCTGAAATTGAGAAGTAATCTGAAGTAATTATCGTCATATTTATGAAAGTAATTATCCCAGTCATCATAATTTATATAGTCCAATCGCACTGTGCACTGGAGCCGATGTGCTTGTGTTGTTGTCTTCTGGGTTGCTGTGTTAAGTTTCCCTTCTTTTTGTCGCTGAATAGTGTTTTGTTTTGGGTGCACAGCATGCTCTGCAATGCTCGGAGTCGTTGGTCTTTTTTTCCTCAAACGGCCCCCAGCCTGGAGAATTTCTTTGTGTGAATGTTCAGGGAAAGCATTCACCTCTCATTTGGCTGCTGGACACCGCGCAAGAGGGTGGCTGGGAAGGCAAAGATACTGCGGGCCGAGATCAATGGATAGAGCCTCAGCCTAATCAAGAGCTTTTATCCATTGTTTGGTGTGGAATAGGACCTCATTACGGAGCAAGCGGCTAGGCCTCCCCGCCAATGCGTTCTGAGGCCTGGAAGATCCCAGAATTGATCATTCTATGCAACTATAAGTTCAGTACTTGATTTTTGTAGAAACACTTTGTTGTACCTTCCAGGAATTAATGAGTATGGTGACTTAAAGGGAACGGTTCACCGATGAACCTTGATCCTTCGTGCATGGCTACGCAGCCTGTAAGCAAAGGTTGTTTTTCTCTTGCATGGAAATAATTTGTCAAATGCAGGTGAATATTAAAATCTCTGCAGGGTTATCATTGTGTCGGGCATGACCTAGCCCTACCTTTTTATTTTTTTGCAGAGTTATTGTAGCATTAAAGAAATTATGCCAAATATCTGGCAGTCTCTCTATGAAGATCATTTATTTAACAGTTCGGGACAACTGAGAAGGTGGATGGTGACCTTTTGAAGTGGGAAATGTGGCTGTAGTGTGGGAGAGATCATTACCCTTATTCACATGTTCTGCAGTAATGCATAGACCTGCATTCTCTTGCATGCCATGCAACATGGAGCTTAAATCTAGCATGGACTGTACACTCATAGGGCAGCCCTTCTGGCACCCATAGCCCTTCTGCTATCTGATTGGTTGCTGGTCATGTGGGTGGACAGTAGGCGGGGTTCAGACTAAATCCTATTAGTCAGCAGCGATTGGCCGAGCTTCAGCTCGGCACCTGAGGGCTCCTTTGAAAAGGGTAATTATTGCAGGCGCGAGTCTTTCGCGAACAATACATGTGACATGGCGAATGTGGCCTCGCTCTGTGCCCAACCTATGCAGGAGTTCGTGGAGAGCAGCAGAAAGGCACTGCCGCAGGATCGGAGCCGCGGCCGGCTGGAAGAGGGTAAGAGCGAAGGAGGTGACTGCGGGGAGGCGAGGCCCATGGTGAGTGGCGGCGAGAGTGAAACCCTGCAGGAGTTCCACCTCTACTACCTGTCGGTGGGCGTGTTTGCAGACTGGGCGCTGTCCGAGCGAGCCTTTGTCCTGTGCCTGACTGAGGACGTGCTTGTCTTTCTGTTCGCCTACCTGCCTGCCTCCACGCTGCTCCCGCTAATCTCGCTGCTGCGGCCCACGCCCGTGCGAGCGTGCTAGCATGCTAACGCCGCAGCACCTGCATGTCCACCCTCTCTTTCCGTTTCCATCTTCTTCAACACAATATATTTTTAGCATCATCTTTACTCATTTGTTTCATTCACATGTCTGTTAATTTTTTTTTTGCATGTTCCTCCGCCCCCCCAGTCCTCTGAAGAACACTGTGTCTGTTTTTTTTTTTTGGTCTGTCTCTACCTGTTATCTCTGTCCCGCTGCCTTACCGCTACCGTGCTCCTTTTGAGGAAAAGTGCGGTCGCTTGCCAGAGCAGAAAATAAACTGTCATCTGAAGAGGTGTGTGAAATGAACAGGAAAAATGAAAGCCCCCCCCCCCCCCCGTCCCCACTTGCTGGCAGCCTGAGCGCAGCGAGGGGTGGGGCTCCTGTTCCCCCCGTTAGCGGCTGCGATTTTCCCCGACGGCTCCTCGCTGAGTCCGTTACGCCGCCGTTTACCGACTGGCGAGTGAAGCACTGCTTCTCCCCGTACCTGCAGCTTCGGCCCTTCGTCACAGGGGAAGGGGAGGGTCTGGGGGGATTAAATCTGCCCCCGTCTGCTGACTTTGCTTGGCGACCATCCGTGTGTATTCCAAACATTAGCTTTCTTTTTGTTTTCTAACCTCCTTCACCATTGGAATGCAGTGGTCTCATCACGCCATCCCATGCCAGCGTTTTTGAACAGTTGCTCCTGCATGCTGTGAAGTGTAAACTGAGCGCAGCTTCTGACATGTGGACTAAGATCTTTTTTTTTCCCTCCTTCTTCCCTCCCTCTTTTCTCTATAGGCTTCAGGCGTCTCCGCTTGACCAAAATCACCTAATTGGACGTTTTTTTTAAGACATTCCAAATGTTTATTTTTACCAATGTGTAACATGTTTACTATGGTATCACTCCAGGGAATACGATATTTTAATAAGATACTGTATAACTACATAATGAAGCACTTTATATTGAAACTCTGCGGATTTTAACGGCTGATGCATTTTCGTAGTGATGTCCTTTTTTATACGACTAAAGAGAGTCATCTCACCAGACACTGTACTAAACCGTCTAGAATCCATGTTTGACTCACTTCGTCTTCGTTCCGTTCCGTTCCGTTCCCCAGGTATTTATTTTTACGTGCAGTAGAACTGCAATCTATTACATATTTGTAAAGTATCACCTGAAATAATTTTACCCATTGTTGAAACTATTCATTATGCTTTCTTTAATGTAACATATGAACTTCAAGTCCGCGGGGGTGTTTTGAGAGTTCTTGTCCCCCTCCCCCCCCCCCCCTCAACATGAAGGAGATCTCAGTGTCATCTTACACTTGTAGCGAGTTTGATTATTTTATTTTTTTTGTGCCGTCATGCATCACGGAAAGCAGCGGGCGTGGTCCGCTCTGGTGGACAGTGACAGCGCTGAACGGAGCAGTCAGTGACAGAATTCAGTGTTGTTTTCCCGGAGGGGGGGGGAGGGGGCTGCGATGTCATCTTTGGAGCAGTTCCCTTCTAGAGAGACAAGCTGAACTGCCCCCTGCCCCCACACATGCCTCAGCTGGACAGGCAAACAATCCTACGCAGTGAATGATGTCCAGCCTGCCCTATTGTACTGCGCCAAGAGAGCCATAGTCGTGTCATGTGACATCAGTGGGCGGTGCTTGTTGGTGTGCCAGAGCCGGAGACCCCGGCTGGTACGTGAAAGCGTGTCAAGACGGCAGCAGTGGCCTGCTCACGCTGCACTCCTGTCAGGATGCCATGTTGCGTGCAGGGTGCTTGACCTGCTCATCCGAGTGATAGTGTTCAGGTTTTGCGTACTGCCTGGTAACCGTGTGCCCCGCTTTTTAATGGTGAATCGCTGAACTCTGGTGTGCGAACGCAGTCAATGCCACTCAATAGTTTGCCTTAAAAATAAGGATTTTATGACCCCGGCTCTAAATCAGTGTTTCCCAATCCGGTCCGTGGGGACCCACAGACAGTCCATGTTTTTGCTCCCTCCTGGGTCCCTGTCAGATAGTCCACATTTTTGCTCCCGGTAGGTGCAGGGAGGGAGCAAAAACATGGACTGTCTGCGGGTCCGCGCGGACTGGATTGGGAAACACTGCTCTAATCGACTAGCTAGAGCAAGCAGAACATGTGGACTGATATGTTCCTGTAGACCTGCATATGGAATATTGAATTCCCTATAATGGGTGCTTACAGGGGGGAAAAAAAGCTTGTATATTATTTAATATGCAAATTATTTTGCATATTTATGCATATTGTTGAATTCATGTGAATGAATGTGAGAATAAGCCAGTAAGTGCAGACGTGGATTATCAATACACTTAATGTTTTTATGATCCGAGTGAATGTGTGCAGTCAGTGTTTTACTCCGTAGAACAGAACAAAAATAAAAAAAACTTAGGTTAACTTAAATATTAAGGGGTTAAACATTAAATGGAATTTCTTTTCCCTTTGTTATGTTGTACAAAACTCTTGTGTGCAAAGCATGTTGAAAAAAAATGCATCATTAGAAAAAACATTTAAAGGTCAGTATCTACAGTATTTACAAAATATAGTTTAAAAAAAGATTGAAAAAGAGCTAGGTCAAAAGAGTCTCATTGTTACAGTTAGGCGAAATTGGAGCAGCCCTTTGGTGTTTTTGCAGACAAATGTTTTATATGAGGCTGAAGTTAGAATTTATGCAGATATAATCGGTGGGGGGTGGGGGGTGGGGTGGAGGAGACATCCTACTGAGGACTACGATCCACACTGCGAGGTCACGGGGGTCGCGGAGAGCACTGACCCTGGAGATGGAGGTATCTCCGTGTGCCACTATTGTCTGCGTGCCAAAACGAGCTGTCCAGCCCAGCGAACAGCGCTGAGCCTGTGAGAGTAAGTGATGGTGCCATTTTATTTATTTATTGGTTTCCCCCCCCCCCCCCCCCCCCATGGCTGAAGCTGTGTCCAGTGGCCCAGTGACGAGCAAATGGTTGGAGCTGAAATCACACCACTGCATTCACGTGACCAACAAAAACGTGTTTTTTTTTTTTGTTTTTTTTTTTTTAAAGAAAAAAGTCACTACCCTGAAGCACTTATGGTACCTTTTGCATGGAAGGGTTGTATGATTAATCTATTTAAGACAATGGATAAAAAAAGCGTTAAGAAGAACGATGTGGTCGGTAGCCTGAGCGAGGTGATGTTTTGTGGTTCTAGCTGTTAACTGGTCTGGCCCATCGCTTGAAGAAAGAACAGGGGGGTGAGGCCATGCTGGTGGCTGGAGGACACCCGTTAGCCGCGCCCGCTAATCATGGCTACTAGACTAGCGGCACCATGCTGGTGGGCGGAGGACACCCGTTAGCCGCGTCCGCTAATCATGGCAGCTAGGCTAGTGGCAGCATGTTAAGGGCACTGTCATCTGACTCCATATCTCTGTAGGCTGTATTTTTAGGCTGTGAACAGTAGGCCATTTGAACCACATGACTAGCAGTGCTATGATAGGATAATAGCTTTATTCAGTGACAAGCCACTGTTTTGTCTCCTTTTCCACTTCTGGGGGGGGGGGGGGGGGGGGGGAGGGGGGGACTACGCCTCTGTTGTAGTCATTGGGAGCGGTGTGCATATAAAGGCACTGTTGTGAATTGAGGGTACATCAGTTTACTTGTCTGATGTAACACTAGCTTTTAGCTCTTAACTGCAATCAGTTGTTTGTAACACTGGACTAAACCTGTTTTTTATACATATTATTTCTTATGTATCTTGTTTTTAAAAAACAATAATAAAAAGGAGAAATTTCAACTTCTGCCGTGTGATTTTTGTAAAGCGAAGAAGCTGCATCAGTCTTAAAAAAAAAATTACAATAATCACAGCCAGCCCGGTGTTACCAAAATAATTAAAGTGGTTTATTGTATAAAAAGCACTTGCTGGCAAACATCATTTTATTTACAAATGTATATTAAAAAAAATATTAAAATACGCATCTGGACGGAAGTGCAAGCAGGATTTTACGTATATTTACGTATGCATTAGAATATACTTTACAAAGTCTGTGAGTGTGTTAAAAGTGACCATAAGCAAAACGACCCCCTCGTGCGTATGAAGGTGCGAGATAAAGTGGCTTTTCAGTGCAGAGGACGAGGGCCGTGTGCCGTGAAACGACGTGCTTCATGATTTGTGTGGGAATTTAGTGCGCTTGTGTAGGAGGCTCTGAGAGTGACCCTACAGATATGGTCACGCGTATCTCTTATGAATATGACTGGAAACTCAAGGTCAGTAATGGAAATTTTATATCTGTGAGAAGGTGGTTGTTGTTTCAAGAGGGCTGTGCATGAAGACCGCACCCACCACTCATACTGGGAGTCATTGTAAAATCTGATGTTTCACTCAGATGTGTGTCATCACTACTGTTAAATGGCTGCCCTCTAGTGGCTCCATGGTGTCACTTCAGCTTTCATCCCTGACCGTAATATCGCCAACCGCTGATGATGAATAAATTGCTCTATAAAAGGTGTGAAATCACTATTGTCGCTTGTTCGTGCCATTGCTTGTTCATTTACTGCCTGTGCCAGGTTTGCTGCGCTGGACAGCAGTTCTTGCTGACATGGTGTGGGTTCATTTGAGCGGCACAGGTGTCCATCTTGTGGGGGGCTGGTGGGGCATCTCAGTCGTCGTCATCCTCGCTGATGGTGGTGTCCAGCCCCTTGTCCACACACTGCGCGGCGTCGTCGCTGTCGTTGGCTACGAGCTCCTGCTGGAGGAGCTCCAGCTCGCGCAGCTCCACCTGCAGGCGCTCCAGGTGCTGGGCCCGGCGGCTTCTCAGCAGCCTCATGGGGAAGGGGTTCAGCTCGTTGAAGGCAATGTTCGTCAGCCTCCTGGGAAGTGCGGAGAGGGTACAGCCAGTGAGACAGAGAGAGAGACGGGAAGAGCGAGAGACGGGCAGACGGGCAGAGAGACAGACGGGTAGAGAGAGAGACGGGTAGAGAGAGAGACGGGT